CTCTCTGAGGCCCTTTCGTCATCAATGATTGCATTTTGCTCTCAGACTGCTCTATTCTAGGGGTGAGATGTAATAGACTGGCGAACTTGCTCATCGATTGATTGACACTATCTTTTACTAGTTTCAGGATATCATCGAATTTTGGCTCAATACCGTCATCCTCCATACGGGAGCTTATCTTCACCCACTTCCTTTGCAGTCGAGTAGGTAGGCGTCTTGCTATTACTACTAAAATAAAACTCGAGTTGAGGTCACTCATGCGATTCATCGAAATCATTGCACTCTTGTAAATCTGCAAATTATCCAAAAACTCAGTGAGTGCCTGGGAGTCATCCTGTAATTGACCACCATTACCCTTAACAGCCTCGAATAATTTCCCTGCAATCATCGAAGGTCTTCCAAACTTTTGACGTAGTATGCTCATAGCCTCGTAGTAGCCCTCTTTTGGCTTCATAAACTTACAGCACTGTATAGCTCTTGCAGCATCTCCAGTGCAATACCTCATCAAATACGTTAACTTCATTTCATCATCCAATAAAAAACCACTCAACATGATCTCAAACTCCTTTAAAAATTGTAAATAATCAGCCGGGTTTCCATCAAAACACCGTGGTTCTAATTTAGGGAGTTTGATGTTCCTATTATCCCTGAACGGCGAAACAGTAACATCAACCATGTCATACTTAAGATCAGACACATCGTTACAAGTAACAGACAAGTCACCATGACTTACTTTCCTGTTTGCATCCAAGACACTCTGTCCCTTCTTTGACCCAGGCATTGTTGAACTTGACCCAATTCCAAAAGCGTTCCAGATATTCCTTGTTCAAAGAGGACTTGACTGGCACCAGGAAAAATGGACGGAGACTATCCAAACTTTCACCAACTGTTTGAATCCGCCAGAATCTGTTTCTACCGTCAGAAACTGTCAGCCACGTCTCGTAAACCGTCAATGCCCAGCTCTTGCTGCACTCGGGCTCACGCTGTTCCCTGAAGTTTCTCAGAAACGCTAAGTTATAACGGACGCAAAAACCAAAACACCAATTGGCGACTCGAGGATCCTTTATTGTAACACCAACATATAAACACTGTTACAACTAAGGTCTGTGAACAAATATTACAATAATAAATCACAATATTACTTCTGACGGTTGTCTCCTGACTTCTTTCTGAACAGCGACCGATGAGACGATGACTGTCGTATTGATGCCTCCGCGAAAATTGGGGAAGTTGGTTTTAAGCAAACAACCAAGAATTGATCGTTCAATCTTCAACTACATTGACAAGCAGCGTGGCGTTAACATTACAAACAATGGATCACAGTATATGAAATGTAGAGTTGATGTGTGATAGAAGATGAAAAGAACAGTGTAATAGTATGAGGAATGGAAAACAAAAACTAATTGTCTTAGGTAGTACAAGATTCGGTTCTACCCAAGGATCTTCCTTGCTGGACTTAGTGCTCACTCATGACAACAACGACGTAGATGGTCTAGTTATTCATCCACCTCTGGCAAACAGTGATCATGGGGTGTTAGATTTTAACTTAAGGGCTGGCAATTTAGTCAGTTTTCAACCCAAATCCCGGCCTAGTGTTTGGCATGCTGACATAGTGGCTATAAAGGAGCGTGCTTCAACTGCCGACTGGTCAGTCAACATTGTCTCATCCATTGAAGATGAATGGGATAGATTTAAGAATACACTTGAGAGGGTTACCACTGATCTCATCCCCTGGAGGGTTCCTAAAAGGCCAACAAATCGGCCACCATGGATAAATAGACAAGCTATAACACTTCTGAGACGGAGAAAAAGGTTCTGGAATCTCTTTATTTCTACTGGGCTACAGCAGTTCCGGCTGAAATACTGTGAAACCAGAAACCAGTGTAAAACTTTGATCCACCAGTCAAGGATAGCTTACGAAACCCAGTTAGTTAAAAGTTCACCAGGCTGCCCAAAAAGACTCTTCTCATATATCAAGAGAAGAACACGTAAGAGTGATGCTATCCCACCTCTTATGCTTGAAGATGACCAGACAAACATGGCTGAGGATAACTTGACCAAGGCTGAGGCTTTGTCCAAGCACTTTAGTCAAGTATTCTCTGATAATATTGATACCAGCTTTGTAAATTTTCCAGAAGGTAACTTGAAAATGGCACCCTTATACATTGGAAAGGATACTGTCCTAAAGTGGCTTCTAAGGCTCAATCCTGGTAAGTCCAGTGGCCCTGATGAACTCCACCCACGTATATTAACAGCATTGGCTGAAAGCATAGCCGAGCCATTGTCGGTAATCTTCAATATGTCTCTGGACCAGTCTAAATGTCCAAGAGACTGGAAAGATGCCATCATTAGTCCGGTCTTCAAAACCGGATCTAGAAACTTAGTTCAGAACTATCGTCCTGTTAGTTTGACCAGTATTGTTGTTAAACTACTAGAAAGAATAATTCGTGATGCTATCATTCAGTTCATTGAAGGGAACAAACTTTTCGCTGTGGAACAGCACGGTTTTAGAGCAGGTCATTCTTGCTTGACCAACCTTCTTTTGGCCAGAGAAAGTTGGGCAAGCTCAGCTGATGCTAATATACCGGTGGATGCCATATTCATAGACCTTAGCAAGGCGTTTGACAGGGTTTCTCATTCAGGTCTTCTAGTAAAGTTAGGTAGTCTGGGAATCAATAAAGTGGTTACCGACTGGATTCAAGACTTTCTAAAGGACAGAAGACAAAGAGTACGAGTTAACGGGGTTTTATCAACATGGGAATCGGTTAAGAGTGGCGTTCCTCAGGGTACAATTCTAGGCCCACTTCTTTTCCTGATTTATGTTAATGAGATTCCATCGGTAGTTAAGTCATCCTGCTTACTGTTTGCTGATGACATCAAGATATGGAGGGCTTTGCACGATGACAGTGATCAACTTGCTTTGCAGGAAGATTTAAACTTGTTAAGTGATTGGTGTAAGCACTGGGCCTTGGAGATTAACTTAAGCAAGAGTGTAGTTATGCATGTATCCCATAGTCACGTGCACAATTACTCAATGAATGGCATTACTCTCCCAGTGGTCACTGAGTACAAGGACTTGGGAGTGGTTGTGCAGCATGACTTGAAAACAGCAACAAACTGTAGAACTGCAGCCACTAAGGGTTTTCGAATGTTATGGGCCATACGCAAGGCTTTTGCGAACTTTGACGCTGATATATTTCGTATATTATATCCGACTTATATCAGACCTCATTTGGAATATGGGATCCAGGCAGCGAGCCCGTGTTTCAAATACGAAATAGACTTATTAGAAAGGGTGCAAAGAGTAGGAACTAAGCTAATAAAGGGTTTCTCAACCCTGTCATATGACGAGAGGTTAAGTCGACTGGGTTTATTTCCACTGTCATACAGACGACTTAGGGGTGACCTAATACTAGCATACCGTATCCTAAGAAATGATTTTGGAGCTAATTTATCTAAATTATTTCTTCCTTCTAGCACCAACCAATTGCGAGGACATCACCTCAAGGTTCAAAAACCACGGTCGAATCGTCTGCGTCTGGAAATCCGTTTTTCGCATCGAATTGTGAACCATTGGAACTCCCTACCGGAACACGTCGTATCAGCGCCATCCGTTGATTCATTCAAGGCGAGATTGGACCTCCTGTATGCAATAAATCGAAAGGATTAACACAGGCATATAGCCTACTATCCTAAATAAATTGTAAACTGTAAACTGTAATTGGACTTCATTTTAGAGTGTATTAGTAAGTTGATCGTGTCATACCTAACAGATTTCTCATCACATAACTGCTGTGTCAGATATGGTATTGTGGGGTTTTCGTAGTCGGTAGTCCTAGATTATAGCCTCCTGTAGCTATTTCTAGTTCTACCAGATGAAATGCAAGGAGACAGCTGCGTATGGAGAGGATGCTCGGGGTCTGAAAATATTGTATTCGCTAGTTTCTTACATGACATAATATGTCTATCCACAATGGTGTTAACCAGTTGGTTTGAAGATATTTCACTCGCCCTACTAACGGCTTTTAGTGCCCTTCTCAGCGAAGCAAAGTCTTTCTTAAGTAGTCCAGGAAAGACTAATGCGGAGCAGTAAGGGGGATGGGTAGAATACAAGAATTGACAAACTGAGACAGCAAAGACTGGTTTATGCTAGATTGCCTAAATTTCCTAGCGTAAAACGTTAAGCGAAACATCTTTCTAGTAACTAGCAAGATGTGGGAAGACCAGGAAAGATCGGTAGAAAAACTCAGTTCAAGGTATTTGACATTAGATGTAATTTCAACCTCTGTGCCGTCAATGATAGTGGGGCCATGTGAGCTAACTAGTTTCTTTATTTATTTTTCACCAGCACAGTTTCATCAACATGCCTGACAAAGTCTTCTCCACCCAGCAAACAAATGATTTTCTCTATTTTCCACGAAACAATATCTCTTTAATGCTGGTACCACTTAACTGTTGAAACGAGGCTATTCTCCGAATCGGCAGCTTCTGCTCTCACCGGCTGTTTCAACACCCAGTAGTTGCAGATATACTAAATGTGGGTTAGGAAGAGGTGCGACCTACGAAATATTAAAATTATCAGCTTACTCCCTCTAATGCTACCACGCTTCAAACATATAGCAGAAAGATGAACAAATCCATCAGTTGATTTTCCACACCTTTTTGAAAGTCATGATACCACAACACGAACAAGTTCGCTCCTTCGGGAGCAACCCTAAATCCAGGTTATACTGGAAAATACTGTCCGCCTCGAAATGCGAAAGTAAAATTGTAAGGGCACGCATTAGAAATGAATCAAGCGCTAAACAACATTGCACTACTTTCGCGAATCTCATTGGATAGGTCGACTTCGTTCGCTGATTGATAGTTAAAGGTGTCGAAGGTTTAACTTGGCCCCGAAGATCAAATACCTATACCTCACAAACAAGAGGTGAGCACAAAGAAATCAAATTGGTTTATACCAGCTCGTAAAAACGATATTGGATATTGGAAGCCCAGCCGGTTGATTCAAGCTCAAGGTCGGTGTTGCATGTGCTTTCAAATTTGCGGATAAAAGTAGGTTTTTAGTGGTATTTTAGGTAAGTATCAGCAAGTACCAGCTGTTTAATATCAAAACGTCCTTCAATAAATAACCAGGCAGATAATATCTGCTTCAATGCATATATATGTTGGTAATATATTAGGTAATATGTTTTAGGCCAAGTTCAGCTCTAAGCGCCGGTAACTGTCATCGAAGTGTGTCTGCGCCGATAACCTTGAATATCCCGACGCATTTTATTCACGTGAGCTGAAGCCTTTCCTGCCATTGATCTGAGTCAAATGTTTTCTATGACAGTTCCAGGTTGGCTAGAGCACCTTGGCAATGTGGGCGAAACGTGGGATGAATAGGTAATTTTGATCGCCAAACACGTGGGCGAGAAAATTGGTGCCAATGCAACAGATTTTCCCCACTTTCCCCACACTGACCAATTTTCCACGTTTGCCCATGTTCGGAAAACGTTTTTTTTCCAGTTTTCTCACGTGATCCACTTATCCCATGTGCAGAAACTCTCAATATACTCACTTTTTCCCAGTTTGCTCACTTTTTCGACGAACAATTTACCCACTTCTTCCCCTTTTGACCACTCCCTCAACGACCTGTTCACCCACTACTGCTATTTTCGTGACGAAAAAATGCCCTCATTTTTCTAATCCAACCGCACGTATTATTAGAATTAATTAGCGTCCTACCAGTTGTCAAAGGAAGTGATTACACATTGTCGTCCTTTATAGTTACTACTGCAATCGAATTTACCACAGTTACGAGCTCAGCGACTACTGCCTTACGATTCTTCCACCTCACTCAATGGTTATTCTTCTGACATAAAATAAGGCCAACGGAGTTAAGGAATTTTATATTTTATACAGTGAAATATCGGTTTTATAAAAATAGTAACCAGATGAAAAAGATTACAAAATGACTTCATAAATTATTCTGAAGACGGCGATTGGCTGGTCCCACGTTGAATGACTTCAGCACACATCTGTAATAAAGGAAAGAGAGAATCATTTTAATACGCGTCAATAACTATTAAGTGCATAAAAACGGGGAGCACTTTTTCATTAAAAACTACCTCTTCTGGTGATAAATCCATTTTATTTTTTCGAATACGCTGGTCATGGCACCAATCTATGGTGGCTTCTACAATCGCTTCGATTGTTTCCTCCTCGGTGGACCCAAGTTGTAATTGCTTACGAGTGATGACATCTGAACTTTTTCAAGTATACAATGTTCTGATTCCAAAAAGTAAACATACTAATTATAAGCTGGAAAAACGTGAAGTCACGGACACCAGTCTTATCTGCAGCTCCCTTATAAGTCATCAATCTTGCTAGGCTTTTATTTAGGACTGCGCTCAGCAACCGGCGCGTTGAGCTGGTTGGGTTATTTTGCACCTTAAATGAGAGTTGACACATCTGAAACGAATCAACTAAACAAACTTGGATGAAATCCCTTACTGTCTCCTCAAAATACTTTCTGTTTTTAAGTTTTCACTCAAAACTTTCAAGCATAGCAAATGTTTTCACCGGGAGCCTGACATCATTTTCGCTATCGTCAGCTGTGCAATCACTGAAAGTTGCCAACGCAAAGTCAACACGTTTAATTAATTTCGCCTGCATTTCACATACTCTTTCAAAACAAACCGTTAAATAATTATAGGATAAACATAAAACAAGAAGGAACTGCACCTGCTACTTTATCGTCAGAATCCGTCCTAGGCCGCTTAACATTAGTATCCTTGGGCGACCTGAGAAAAAATGGCTATTAAATTTGGTATTACTTACATAATAGGTGTACTTGTAGCAGCCACCATGTGTGAAGAACTCTTCGCCATTAATCCAAAACTACTTCATTGTAATGTAAGGTTGAATATCTGTCATACCTTATATTCTTTTTCGAATCAGATGCACTTCTATCGAGGTCTGCGTAATCGGGGTCCTCGAAGACATTACACTGCTTGTCCATGAGGTCAGATGGGTAGTCGTTACTTACAAAAACGTCATTTTTCGGTGCTCTATTTATTCAGTCAAGTATGAAACGATGCTTACGTTTTTTGACGCTTTTGCGTGCAAACTACAGTAGACTTCGATGACTGACTGCAATTGGTAGTGCTGTATGTTCTTTTCAGGGCCTTGTGCTTTGCGAGCTCCTCTTGCAAGTCATCTGGATAAATAGTTAAGTGTCGATACGACTAACCTGTTTCAAAAATCACCTCACAATTCTCCATCTTCCAATCAATCTTGGGGTACACCTCCTCATAGGCATTACCCCAATTTTCTTGGCTGCAAACAACAAGCTTAGATCCAAGAAACCAAGAGCTCCGGCATATCACCGCCTCATTTTTTCCATCAATCAATACAATACGGTATTTGCCCATTTATTCTGAAAGGAACAGCACATTAGTGAATGAAGAACGAATTGCCTTAAAAGTCCCCCCACTTGAAGGTATGGGGAGTGTAAACTCAAACTGATATGCTAGCAAACCCAACCCACTTTGTTGATCATGTCAGCTCTTACCTATGACTCGCATTAACTGCAACCGACGCCAATGAAACAACACCAATTAACAATGGCAACAACTTATCTGGCCGATGTGTGAGGTGTTGCGTTGAAAACGCTGAAGTGATTTGTGGCTATTGCAATACATTTATATTGAATTGTATTAATTGCAAACCATTCAGTGTCGCCTGAGAACTGGCCTGATTTGTATATATCAAGCATCGTTGAATCGAAAGGCTTATTAAAAAATAGCTCCTTATCCAAACAAGGTCTGAATTTAAATGCATTACCTTCACCCACAGTGTAGATAATCCCAGGTACACCATTTACTACTACGAATCGGTGTGGGTAAATGGGAAAAGGTGGGTATGTTTTGAATTTCCGCACATGGGATAAGTGGGTGAGTACGTGGGTCACGTGGGAAAACTGGAAAAGATTGGGACGAAAAAAAATTTTCCGGACGTGTGCAAACGGGGAAAGAATTGCCAATGTGGGCAAAGTGGATAAAATCTGTTGCATTTACACCATGTTTTGTCCATCTGCTCTCCGATCAAAATTACCCATTTATCCCACGTTTCGCCCACATTGCCTAGGTGCATTAACTGACTGGGGAGGATGTTTAATGGAGTGATTAAATGAATATATGTATCGAATGTGGTGTACACCACCACGTAACTTTTCTATAGATACTCGTTTGTTAAACTGGGAATTATTCCTATGACATGCGTGAGAGAGGTATCCTGTGAAGTAGTGTTATATATTGTGCGTAGAATTTTTTCATAAATACCTTTGTCTTATATCTAAAATGCGCCTTTCACGTGATTGGTGTGTTCAAGGTCATTCGCTGATTGATAGGGGCTGGTGCATAACTGTCCTTTTCATCTGATAACAGCCGAGATCTACACGCGTCCTTAGATAGGACACTCTTCGTGAATGAATGGTTATGCACAGTTGTGTAGGTTATCTTTTATCCTTCAGTTGTATGCGGCACTATAGATGTCGACTGACATGAAATACTTTTGAACCTTGAAAATTTTGAAATTTACATGCACAGCCAACTTACCGTTTGTTCCTCAAGCCAGTACCTGTAAGAGCACGATGACCTCCAAAAGTGTATTCGTACTTCTCATAGGGCCGGAGGTGTTTTTTTTTACGCATTGAAGCATCCTAGTAAGATGTATTTGATTCCTTCCGAAGAAATGATTAACAAGTTAGTTATTACCTTCATAGATTCAGCAAAAGCTTGCTTAAATTGCATCCATGTGTACAATATACAAGAAGGAAGCGTTACATGGGAGAACTCAGATGACGAATTTCGTGAAGTAGAGGCAGTAAGAGTATTTTAAAACCTCATGTAATGATGTTAACAATGTTCAACAAACACAACACAATGATTTTAAGCAGGCATAATAGTAGTATGTACTTCAGCGGTTATATACCACTGTCGTGACCTAGTAAACAATTGAATTATATTCATCTGGAGAGCGCAAATTACATAGGTCACTGAAGTGACAACTTAAAGAAATGTGTTAATTAAATATGTATCCATCCTAATCAAAAGCATAGAATAAATTTTTCATAATTATTGTTGAATTATATTCAAAAATTCTTACACATCTCAATGTAATTTCAAAGCCAGTTGTTATTATTATTATTATTGTTCCCTTGGGTTCCTAGTGGAACATAAGGGCTTCAACTGCACGTCTCCACTTGCTTCTGTCTTCCTCCTGCTGTACTTTTCACCTGCATCCATGTTAGTCCATACTCTTTCAACTCCTCTTCATACGATCTCCTCCATGTCACCCTTGCACTGACGTTCCACTCGCCACTTCCTATTCTGTCGGGTTCCACTCGAGCAATGGCCTGACACGCGCGATGTCACCTAGCGGCCTCCTCACTCAGCGAGTGTCCAATCCTGCATATATGTTGGTTGGCGATTGATTTGGTCTTGTTTTGTTTGTTCCCATAGTTTCTTTTTGGTGATTCTTTCCGGCCCGGCCATCTGATCTTCATTCAGTATAGAGCGAAAACAGTTGTTGATAAAGGTAACGTCTGCAACAGGCTGTTGGAAATATTCTTTGTGACCCGCTCGCCAAGTTTCTGATCCATATGGGAGAATTGACTTGACGTTTGTATTGAAAATCCGACCGAATTTTGTTGTTGATGCTGAGTGGCGAAGATTTCCAGATTGGTTGCTTCAGGTTGATGAATGTGTTTCTCGTCTTCCCGGTTCTCGATTTGACATCCTCGTCCGTTCCTCCTGTAGTTTGACAATGTTCCCTAGATAAGTGAATGAAGTTACCTCTTTCAAATCCCTCCCATTGATGGTGATTGACGCTGGATGTTGCTGCTGCTGTTGTTGTTGGTTGGTTAGTTTCATAACCTCCGTCTTGTCTATGTTCACATGGAGTCCTGTCTTTGCTGCTTCTTCGACCACTTTGTCGGTTTTCGCTTGTAAGTCTTCGATTTTGTGTGACATCAAACATAAATCATCCACGCGCGAAATCCAGGTCTTCTAGGTTCTTCACGTTGGTCCAGGAAATCCCTGTCTTCTCGTTTCCCACTGTCTGACGCATAATCCAGTCTACCACAATTAGGAATATCATTGGTGATAATAAGCCAGCACCCTTGTCTGACTCCTGTGTTTACTCCAAACGCCTTGCTGAGTTTTCCGTTGTGGATGACTTGACATGTGCCTTTGTCGTACAGCTGTTGAATAAGTTTGATGAATATTTGGGGTACGCCGTAGTACTCGAGTAATTTCCAAATTACTTCACGGTCAACGCTGTCTGTTGAAGGCCTTCTCAAAGTCTATAAAGTTGAGGTAGAGGTTTGATTGCCATTCCATGCTTTGTTTGATGATGATGCGTAGAGTTTCAATTTGGTCAGAACATGATTTGCCTTTCCTGAATCCAGCTTGTTCTGGTCGGAGTTGTGCATCCAGTGCGTCTTTTATTCTCTCCAGGATGATGAGACTCAGGATTTTACTTCGCAAAGCCAATAATGCACCCAAATAGTATGTGACTCATCACAGTACACTCTCACACCAAAAAAATTTACACGCTATTATAATATGGTAAGTTTTTAGTGCTACTGCCTATGTGTTTGTACTTATCCGTGTGAAAATAAAAAACTTCCCTCTTTGACAAATATTTTAAACCAATAGGAGGCCAACTAGCCAGTAGCCAATTGATTTTCCTCATATAAATAAACGAGGCGTAAAGATTCCTTTCCTGTTACGGTAGCCAACTGTTAAGCTGGATGTTACCTAAATAACTTTAATTAGCTATTTGAAGTGATTAACACAGGTTACCTCAAGCCTACTACCCTATATCATTAGGGGAAAATTAATAAACTTCCTTTTAACTACAGTACAATCTATTGATTCCACAGTGTATTATTTTTCACCGATATATTTTAAAGGTTTTAAGTCGAAGTTAAACTACCTTAGCCAAAATCGCAGTGATATTGAGCGATCAATCAGAATTCAGATGATGGAAAATACTTATTAGGACATTAGAAAGAAGAGAACACGAAGTTCAGCAAAGGGGGCGATTTCACTTTCAAGAGCTGTACATACATAATTTTACATGGATACGATTTTTTTTTACTTGATTCCACATAATTACGAAGGCGAATAAAAGGTGACAATTGCTTTCAACTTGATATGGTTTACGAGTGGCTTAAAAAGAAAATTACACAGGATTAGAATATAATTGTAAAATAGTTATTTTAAACGAATTGCAAGTGTAAGCAGGAGGAGCATGGAAACAAACTTAAAATAACTGTTCGTACAACTGAAAAAATGGGATGAATTGAATGGAGACCAGGAGAGAAATCACACACACACAGCGAACGAAAAAAATCGCAAAAAAGGAACACACCTAACTAGGTCCATGGTAGTTGTGGAAATCGAACTAATTTCTTTTGAACACACAGCTGTGGCTTTTCGATGCATATTGCGAGGGCTTCTGCAGTACAAAGAAGTTGGAAACATACTGCTTTTGGTAGGTTTCTGCTTACTTTGTAAATTACTTTGAATGCATCAGTTGAGATGTTATGGCAGGTATTGAGCAGATGTTTAATAACGGCACTTCTAATTGAACCGGTGCCTCCTTTTTGCAGCAGCCATACTGGGTAATGTTCTCTTACAATGTTGTGAAAGGAGGCGCGTACAACCGTAAACACTCTCAATAGATCTTTCATCCGCCCTCCAAATGTCCTTTCTGCCTTCAATTTAACTAATAACACGACCAGTGACTTTCATCGTTTCAATACTTCTGATGTTCTTAAATGTTTGAAATCTCTTAAACCTTCCCAGAGTCTAGGCCCTGATGGTATACCTGCCATTGTTTTAAAGAAATGTGCTGATATTTTAAGTAACCCACTTACAAGCATTCTCAATACTTCTTTTTCTAATAATAATGTACCTTCTCTGTGGAAAGATATTAAAATCATCCCTGTACCCAAGTCTGGTTCTGGAGATAGTGTTAAGTTTAGACCAATTGCCATTACCTCTCCTTTCTTGAAACTGATGGAGAAATTACTTTTACAAAAACTCATTCCCTCCCTAAGCTTCTCAAATGATCCAAAGCAGTTTGCTTACAAACAGGGTAGAAGTACTTTGGATGCTGCTGCTGTGTTTCATCACAACATTGTATCCTCCTTAGACAAAGGGGCCAAGTATGTCCGTTGTACTTTCCTTGATTACACATCTGCTTTTGACTCTGTACCTAGAGGCCTTTTGTTAAACAAGCTTAGCCTTACACAAACTGAGTCCTGGGCTATCAACTGGCTGCACTCTTACTTCTCCAATAGGATGCAGTACACGGTATATAATGGTGTAGCTTCCTCTCCTTTGCTTACTGAAGCTGGTGTTCCTCAGGGTGCTGTTCTCTCGCCGTTTCTCTTTTCCTTCTTCTTACATGACTTACCTCTCTCAGACGAAATCAACTTCGTCAAATATGCAGATGACCTGACTGTTTCGCTTCCCGTTAAGTCTCAGTCAGACTGCTTCAAATTAAATAGCTTCCTGTCGGACATCAGTCAGTGGTCTAAAATAAATGGCCTAACGCTGAATCCCTCAAAATGCCAGACTGTCGACTTCTCCTTTAGGCATAAACGAGATCTACAAACACTAGTAAGCACTCATGATGTCTGTAGAATCGAGGGGACTATAATTGAAACAAAGTCTAATGCAAAATACCTCGGATTAGTTATATCTTCCGACCTTACTTGGTCATCTCATATCCAAATGATTTCCAAGAAAGTGTTTCGTCTAACCTACTACATTAAGAAACTCAGACTAACTGGAGTCCCTCAACCTCTGCTTACACAATTTGTCAACTCTCGTATCCTACCTATTCTACTTTACTGTTCCCCGTTAGTCTTTCCTGGGTTACTGAAAAAGGATTATACCATCCTGAGAAGGATGTTGAAGGTAGTTAGCAGGACTAGCGGTGTAAAACTCAGTCAGCTCGTCACAACATTAGTGGATAAGCATCTGAATACATGTGAGAAATGGTCTAAAACCATACTCTCTGACCCCCAACACCCCCTCTATTCCCAACTCTCTCCCTGCATCTCATCAGGTAGAACCAGAAATCAGTATAAAATAATATATGCTCGCACAACCAAGTATAGGAACTCAACGATACCATATTTGGCCCGTGTTCTAAGTGACAGAGACAATGTTAAGCGTGAAACCTATGACTTGCTTTGTTGTTAATAACATAATTTTATTTCCCCCTTACCTCTCTTATTTGTACTCTATAGTGAACAACCTTCTTAAACATACTTAGCTGCTTAAAATTATTATCATTGGCTTACATTTTTATTCTTTATTCTATTCCTTCTTTGTACATCTACTGGGTCCGACTATATTATCACTATGATTATTAAAAATTGTCCCGTCATTAACCATCATGTAACATTAGTTTTGTGGTTGTTCTTTGTTCGGCACTATTTAACTGACAATCTTGTTTGTTATTGCCACTATCACCATCTTAAAAATTTTGTATTATGCATGATTCCTCACACTGCCACTACAAACAACCGCATTAGTACTGACAAAAAAGAAAACAAACCTGAAATGTTTATCTTATGATTGCTTAGTGTTGTTCAATCAAATTAACTGATCATCTTGGCTATAAACATTTTTTTCTTTTTTTTTTTTAAGAACATCTCATAATTTCGCGTATGATTATAGCTGTTACTGTTCACCACGCATAAACATATCGTAGCTTCCACTAACTAATACTGAAATATTTTTTTTTCATTATTTGTGTTGATCTTCTTTTTTTTACTCAATATTTTTATTTGCATTTTTTTTTGGTTATTTCTGTTTCTTTTGTTTGGTTTTTATAATACTCCTTTTAAATGTACGATGAAATTAGATGCAATATTGTAGATATGTGCTGAAAATTCCACACTGTACCACAAGTACTGTTTCTGGAATAAAGCGAAATTGTCATGTCATGTCATGTCATGTATCTAGTTGAAAATAATTTTCACCTTTTATTCGCCATCGTAATTATGTGGAATAATGTAAAAAAAATTGTATCTATGTAAATTTATGTATTTAAATGCGATTGTACAGCTTTTGAAAATGTAATCAGAATTCAGACGCAAAATATCTCTTAGTCGTTTGAGAATGCATTAAGAAATATTGCAAATATTTTGTTAAGCTAATTAACTTCCATGTTGTGTTGTAAAAATTTCTAGTCGCTACACGGATAATCTGTAAAGAATTCATACCATGCTCGACAGGCATGTTCATCCAGGTGACTACAGATCATGGTGTTTTGAGGTGCGTTGATATCTCTGACACGGTTCTCCAACTTTCCCCTAACTCTATCCGTAATCCTAACCGTAACTTCAAATCTAATCCTTGCCTTAACTCCAGACCTTAACCTGCGAGTGTAGATATACAGGGGAAGGTCCCAGAGAACAAGTAGAATACTGTACTTACCCTCGCTAAATCCAAGAAGACAGGCATGGTTTGATTTAGAATAATCTTCCATGGCGTTCCTTAAATCTGATTGGTTCGTGTAGGCCAGCTCTTGACAGATTTTGACTTCGACTGTGATAGTTTACATATACCGGTTTTAATTCACTCACTTTTATATGTGGAGCATGTGCGTGTTGTTTACCGTCACTTAGATTTTGTCTCCTTTTCAGGTTCTGTTGTTGTACGGATTTCAAATGTCTAAAGCCATATTAATTCACACTTTCTGGTGCCAGTAACATTCCACTGCATAACTAGATACTGCAGCTCAAATGGAACGTCTAACATTATTTCACTTACGGCAAGTGGATAGGAGTAATGAACCAGAGACGAATACAATCCTTGAACAAATAGCTACAGAAAATCTTGTTCGGAAGGCCTACAATGAAAACCTTCGTCAGTGGAAAGATGAAGCACTCCGGCTGTTCAAAGTGAATCATGTAAACTACCTCTACAAGAGAATTTACAATCTACCCTCTAGTTTTGAACAATTGGATGCAAGTCAATCTTGGTTGGCCTACTGGATGGTACATAGTTTAGGCTTGTTGAACGCTGAGATCCCGGAAGAAATGTTTCTGAAGCTGATATCATTAATAGCAGATATGCAGGTATTTAACATGTGTTATTTTCAAAAATTTCTCTAGAAGCCACGTTTGTATTTGACTCAGTTTGAGAATTATAGTTATTTCTGGGGTCCTATGAACTATTATTGGTGATTGGAATTAAGTCTCAAGTTTCTGTATTCCACAGATTAGTGGTACTCACTTGGTGCCCTGTGGGGAGGTCTTCGGATCATCCCTTTAATTAGTGCGTCGGTGGCAAGGCGTTTATGACTCTCGCCTATCATTCACATGGTCTGGGGTTCGATCCCCTACCGACGCACACCTGATATCTATGGTCGGCCTGCAGAATTCGGGCTACGGATATCACATACTGAAAATTCCATACCTGTACCAAAAACATGGTGTGGAATCAAGCTGTAATAAAAAAATACATGTGGTAATTTTGACTTGGTGTTTTGAAATAGACTGTGATAGTCTCCCTGCTACTTTCTATGAGATATGATCAGGTGAAAACTTCTTGGAAAGGTGGTGCGTATAAAGCCGTCTTTAATGAAAGCATTCAAAAAAAGAATAATTGCCATACTCATGTAAGAAGTAGCAGCTTTCCAGTCTCTGAAGAAATTGTCAAAAATTTATTACTATACCAGTTAGGTTAACTAATGTATTGCAGTTCGTAGTGCTTCACAATAATTTTTCACCTTGAAATCACTTTATTAAGTCGTAGATTTGTGTATTCTCAACATATCGCTTGAACTCCTTACTACACTTAAGCTGTAGCCGGTTTACTACATCGTATTGTTCATTCGTCAGTAATGTGTAAGTATGCTCTTGGAAGTGTGTGGGCTTTTGTTACTTCCCGGTTGCCCACACCGTGGAAGTTGTTTGATTCTTCGGGTACCTGAAGCAGAGAGAGGGTTAGTGTTACGTGATCACAGAGCCCAGGGGACAACTGCTTGAGGCCAGCCGGTCACACACAGTCTGTATGAACTGGTTTCTGGGATTGGTCCCTTATTAGTAAACTTACCACCGGCACGGACCACTGTAGGGTAAGTCGGGATGTACAATTTCCGGGGTCGATCTCCTCTAACCCCCTCTCTCCAGAGTGGAGAGACAACATAGCTAGCTGGCATGCTGGTCATCTGAGGGAAACACCTTACTGATGTTACATCCCTGTTCTCCAGCAGTACGACTTCACCCACAGACCCAAAGCATAGTGTAGGAAAGGAAATCTTACACTATTCCGGGAACTGCTTTTAGTCTAATCGCCATCTTAACAACCTTCCTGGCATGGTAAGACCTTCAGGAACAATAGTTCCGACTAGTGTAGCTTGTTGGGCCCGACTACCACGTGTAAAAGTAGCAGCCATCGGTCGGCAAAGCCCACTAGCTCTGGCGAGGCGGATTCGAACCACCGACCTAAGGACTACTGCACCAATCTACAGTCCTTCGCTCTACCAACTGAGCTATCGCCGCTTCTTTCTTCTACTTTCTTCTCTTGCTCCGTGTGCTACATCGAGTGTGGCGACTTGAACTGCTGCATATCGGTGCAAAGTTCTATCCGGAAAACAGACAAACAGTAATGTGTAAACTAAGCCATCTAGGTTGTTAAGCAGAAATGTGTTATTGATATTGGTTCTTCAGTAGTGAAGTCATATGCATTCCTTTAGCCCCGCTGTTATGGTGTCTTAAATTTCAGAGAAATAAGTTAATCCCGATTAAGTTTGATCTGGTAGTCACTTATATAGGTGAAAAAGGCTTCTGTGCCGGTCTGCTGAAATCTTTTACCAAATTTGATCATTCCGACTAATTAATGTGAACATTGAGTTTGTGTAGAAAAATGCTGTTGCATTCCAAGCACTTGGTGTTCGTCTCGTCCGGCTGTCAGGCTCAGTGATCAGGTAAACTCATCATTCTTCGCTTCCAAATTCTTCAAGAAAGAGTGATTTCAGGTGAACTAAACACTTAGGGATTTTCACTCACCTACATGCTTCTGGTAGCACACAAAAATTTTCTTATCATCTAGTCATTTTGATGATATCAGATAGTTGGAGGTAATCGGAAGGAAGCCTTGTCTGGACGTAGGTTTCGTGCTAGTTGGCACTCACTAGTCAGCAAGGCGTATCTGCAACCTTGAAGGAACTCATGTCCATTCTGAGATTGGAACCCGCATCACTTAGTGAGTTTTGAAGTCAGAGACGGTACCACTGAGCTAGCTATTCAGGCTCTCGATTAACTTCCTGTAGGACTGTAGTGGGTAGTTTCATTAGACACTAGTAACTAGTGTGACGTATTTAGTCCTTTCTTTATATCATTAGATATTAGATCTAATATCATCAAATCCATGTGCACCGTGATGGCGAGCTACCTAGAATGGTGACCACATTGCAAACCTGACTGATAGAATTCAGTCTGCACCAAAGAAAGGACTAGACACACCACAGCAGTCAGTTACTAGTGTCCAATGAAATTACACAATACAGTCCTACAAGAGGTCAATCGCGAGCCGGAATAGCTGGGTCAGTGGTAACGTCTCTGACTGCAGCAATGGGTGATGCGGGTTCGCAGCCCAGAAGGAACATGAATTCCCTCAAGGTTGCAGATACGCCTTGCTGACTAGTGAGTACCGACAAGCACGAAACCTAGGTCCAAGGCTTCTTGCCGATTGCCTTCAGCCATCTAACATAAACATTTCAAAGTGCACCGTGATGGTGAGCTACCTAGAATGGGGCCACATTGCAAACCTGACTGATAGAATTCAGTCTGCACCAAAGAAAGGACTAGACACATCACACTAGTTAGTTACAAGTGTCCAATCAAAGTATCTAGTCATTCTATCAATGCGTTTTCATTAACCCTCACTACTAACAGTGTTCTTTAATCTTATGTCTAGCTATCTTTAGTTGATCTCGTTAACGCGTTATGACAACGTCTATTGTAATCACTTCCAACTGTGACCTCGCTGAATTATGCGTTTAGTATGAATTTGAGAAAAGAATTAACGGTTACGATACTGTGGTAAGAGCTATCTGCTAGCCAAATTTGGAACACAGCAATTAACATCAATGTTCCTACATCCCAAATCTTGGTCATGAGAAAAGAACAAAAACAAAAAATAACTCAACAACTAATCATGGCAGACTTTGCGTGGGCGTATACGATTCGCAGATTTTTATGGTCTAACCTTCAAAGAAATGGCCAAAAAGAGATGATAGATTAACTTGCAGCGAGAGAACAACCAATCAGAAGACACTGTTTCTCTGCTATCAATAATCTATAAAATCTATGTATAAAAATCTATATCTATTGATTTTCGATAAACGATCTGTTGCCTGATCCTTGTCCGTCGTTCACTCATCAGCTGCAACTAAGATTAAGTAGAATATAAGCTATATAAATATTATTTTAGATGTTACTACCAGTGTCACCTTGATTAAACTTGTTTGTTTCCCCTGCCTAGGACCCAAATGGCGGCTTCGGTGGAGGACGTTATCAATTTCCCCACCTTGCAACATCATATGGTGCAGTTAACTGTTTAGTATCACTGCGTCGTCGAGATGCTCTAGATATTATCAATCGAGATGGTTTAGCTAACTGGTTACGGAAACTACACCAGCCAAATGGTTCTTTCTTAATGCATATGGGTGGAGAGATTGATGTTCGAGGTGCATATTGTGCTATAGCAGTGGCTAGATTGACAGGACTTCTCAAAAAATATCCTGATTTGTTTGAATCAACTGCAGACTGGGTGGCTAGTTGTCAGGTTGGTTTTTAGCGTCTAACATTTTGCTTAATGGGAATTTGTATTTAATAACCTTTTGGATATAATTGGTTTTAGAAGCGTTCGTGAATTTCCATTATAGAATAACTTTATGTTTTGGAGTGCAACTTATGATTGAGATGTGATGGAGATTTGTAGCTCAGATGGATGATTTTGATGCAGTTGTGCTCTCTAAACTGGATGGTTTATTTGCGAAGCTTTCAGTGCCCTACTTGGCAACATCTTCAGCGCATACTTCAATTTTTGGAAGTGAACTTTTAGATTTCCCCACGATTTTATAAATCACCTCTTCTGGTTTGATTGCAAAAGCAGTGATGCCAAGGCTCGAAAACATAATCCTGCCAAAGATCAAACCCAAAATTTGGATACGTTACGTACACGACACATTTGTAATAATCAAACGAAACGATTTGGACAAAACTCACAACTTAATAAACAGCGTTTTCAACGACATCAAATTCACAAGAGAAGAGGAATCCGAGAACCAAATCCCAGCTTTGGACGTCTTAGTCAAGCAAATCAACTCACGTACCAAATACTCAATTACAACAGCAACATTCCAATAACACATAAAAGCAATTGTATACAAACACTATTCAAGAGGGTCAGGATTCATTGCACCAATCCCACCTCAAGGAAAATTGAAGAAAGATATCTCGTGGACGGCTTTCAAAAGAATGGATATCCACGGAATTTCTTCAAAAGACATATACCCCCAAGCCAACCAATCAAACCAAAACCCCCCGAAGAAAACACAAAGAAAATCGCCTTACCATATATCAAGGACATCTCAGAAATCACTGCAAGACTTTTCAAACACTTAGGAATTGATATCGCACACAAACCAACAAAATCGCTACATTCAACCAGCTAGCCGTGTATCAACCAAAAGACTCAACAACGAAAGAAGATAAAACCAACTTCATCTACAAAATAAATTATAGCAACTGCGGAAAACGCAGCATTGGCCAAAGTGGACGTCCCCTTCGTCTTCCTATCTATGAGCATAAACTAGCCATCAAAAGACATGACATTTACTTCCCAGCTCATATCACTGCATACAGACAACCATGGACATCAATTCAACTGGAACAACCAGCGTTCAAATATTAGACAGAGGAAACACCAAAAATGCTAGACAATTTTTAGAAGCCTGGTATTCTAGTGAATCATTAATCAGTAGCCACATTGTCATAGACAAAATATACCAATCAATAAGAAGGAAATCTCACACACAAAGGGTCAAAGTTCGAGTCAAGGAAACAATCAGTTCCAATACAAGTAGTCTAGAGGGTGTGAAAACATACAGAAACAACCATGTGAGATGACTAATAAACTCGTGGGGAAATCTAAAAGCACACTCCAACAAATTGAAGTATTCGTTGAAGATGTTGCGTAGTAGGGGGCAATGAAAGCTACGCAAATAAACCATCCAGCTGAGAGAACACAACTACATTAAAAGCAACTTATGATTAAAAATCATATCAAGGCATTCGCATAACTTTGAAATTTTTATATTATTTCTTACTCTTTGATTTTATTGGTATTAATGTTTCTACGTATCGGCGTACGTGTTAAGTTTAGATATCATTGACATAAACCTCCTTCTTCGCCTACTTATATTACTTTTTAGAAACGTAACTCTATCCCACCTTATTATGTTTTAGTCTGTGTATTTGAATTACCTAGTTTTTTTATTTTTTATTTTGATTACAGCTTGATTCCACACCGTATTTTTTGGTACAAGTATGAAATTTTCGGCATGTGATATCCGTAGCCCAAATTTTGCAGGCCGAGCATAGATATCAGGTGTGCGTCGGCAGCGGGTCGAACCCCAGACCATGTGCATGGTCGGCAAGAGTCCCAACCGCTGTGCCACTGTTATAACTGTAGAGTATTGAAATGAAGACGTTTTCACCTTATTCTGTCTGCGCCTGAACTAATCTGTCTATCTGCTCGTCGTACCTTCCGACTTAGCAAAGCACGCAAATATCAAAAGACAAAGGCTGGACTGTGACTGTGTATTGAAGTGCAACAACGATAAAGAAAGCCATGGTATTTATACATTTTACAACAATATGGACAGCTAACAGCATTTGAAATAATTGACCTTAATAGCCAATAACAAAGTGTGTGAGAAATCATAATATGCCATATGTGCGACATTGACAGTCAGTAACAAAATGTGTGGGAATGATATACCATATATACAAAATTAGCAGTCACTACCAAAATGCGTGAGAATGATGATATACAAAATTAGCAGTCAATACCAAAATGCGTGAGAATGGTAACATACCATAAATGCAAGATTAAACAGTCAATACCAAAATATGTGGGATCCTATCACCTCCCCCCGTAAAGAGTGTAGGACTTGCTTTTTGGATCTATTTGCAAAGGTTTTGGAGCTCTTCCTTGTCGAGTTGACCTTTGCGTGGTACTGGATAGAGAAGGATCTGTGTGTCTGACACATAACTGTCCTTTTTCATTCGTACGATAATGCAGCAAGAATTTATCCAAAATTTGTTCTGTTGTTCCCTCCCCCTTCGCTTTTGCATAAGCACGCTTAAAGGTGTCGACGAAACGTTCAGTAATAGTTGACGCAGGAGGGACACTGTTGCAATTGATGTGGCAGAATGCATAGGAAATATCTCTGGCCATTTGGAAAACGCGTCGACACATATTAAGAAATGCATACTATTGAACGGTCCGGCGAAGTCAACATGAACACGGGACCATGGTTTGTCCGGTCGTGGCCAGGAACAAAGTTCTGTCTTGCGTGGGCACTTTGATGCTTGAGCACATTTACTACACTTGCGAACGAGGTATTCGATATGGTCATCGATGTTGGGCCAGTAAACATAACTGCGAGCGATCGCCTTCATTCTCCCAACACCAGGATGTGATATATGAAGCTGCCGAAGCACATGGTCACGAAGATTAGCTGGAACGACAACACGATCAGCAAACATTATGCATCCATTAACGATGGATAGGGATTTGCGTCGCTGGTAAAACTGTTTTAAAACATTTGAATGAACATGTGGAGGCCAGCCACATCGGATGAACTTTGATACTTGCTGTAAAACTGGATCACGCAGTGTGTGTCTGGCAACCTCAACTGCAGTCACCGGAAGATCGTCCAGAGAGATAGACATTATAATTGGGTTGTAATTAACACAGTCAAAAATGTTATATAGCTGCGCTGAACAGAATAAAAACTGTCGTCGTTTGCTTGTTATAACTGCGATGAATTAAGTAAATCCACGTCGCCAATTGTTGTAACTGCACTGAATTAAGGTAAAACCCCGTCGCCAATTGTTATATCTTGCTCTGTCTGCGCCTGAACTTATATGTCTATCTCCTTGTCGTGCTTTCCGACTTAGCAAAGCACGCAAATATCAAAAGACAAAGGCTGGACTGTGACTGTGTATTGAAGTGCAACAACGATAAAGAAAGCCATGGTATTTATACATTTTACAACAATATGGACAGCTAACAGCATTTGAAATAATTGACCTTAATAGCCAATAACAAAGTGTGTGAGAAATCATAATATGCCATATGTGCGACATTGACAGTCAGTAACAAAATGTGTGGGAATGATATACCATATATACAAAATTAGCAGTCACTACCAAAATGCGTGAGAATGGTAACATACCATAAATGCAAGATTAAACAGTCAATACCAAAATATGTGGGATCCTATCAGCCACTAATCATCTTGCTAGGGTCAATTAAATAAATCAATAAATAAACCTTCATAGATGTATTCCCTTCGATGAATTTCAATGTAGGAAAAACAACAGTTTGTGTAGAATATGATGGTACCATCGTTTGTTTCGTTTGCTTCTCATCAGGTGCGTACAACGTCTACAAAACCAATACTTGAAAAATGATCTGATGCTCACTAGCGACTGTACCTATTCAAGTAGGCAGTTATCTGGGTGGGTTCTAGTAGGAAGCCGTGACCAGTAGGTCACAGCGGGTTGAAGGTGAGGCAGTAACTCATCGAAAAAGATATTACGAAGTGGTCGCACTATGTCGTGAATTGGCAGTAGTTAGAATTCATGGACTGACCATTGGATTGGGTGAGTCCCAGTGGCTTGATGGTCTAAGAGCTATCTCATCTTGCAACTTGACGGTCCTGGGTTCGGACCTTGGCGGTGGATGCGTGCTGCTGAGGAGTTCAAAACAAGGTTGACGAAACAGTTGTTCAGTACTCCTTGTTGGTTTTTCCAATGGTTCTCTAACTGATTTCAGCTCATGATGAAATCCTCCAACCAATCAAACAAAAGATCCCTACAAAACCAATACTTGAAAAGAATAAATGTTTGTATACAATAGGAAGTATTACGTAATAAAAACAGGAGACGGATGTGGTGATAAGTGACTAATAAGTTGTATAACGGTGTGTTGAGTTCAGCGTAAATCATAGAAAAAAAAGTGATACTCAGAAATATACCATTCGAAATCTAAGAGACGAAAGAAAGGGATTACGTAATCAGATGAAAGGAAAAGTTAAGAAATCCAGCTATCAGGGTAAGTAAAGAGTGACAACTGGTCCTTTCTGAAGGCATAAATCCGCTTTTCAACGTTTAATGACAGTTGGTTAGGCAGACTTGAGAAGAATTGAACATTATTATGTGTTGGTAACTTAAGGGAATTTCGTGGTGTCCTTCTCATGACCTAAATTACTGACACCTGACAAAAGGATTGTTAAGAGCGTTTGTTTATCTCCTTGAAACGTAGGCTTTTTAGTATATGTTTAAAAATTCGAAGATGCGCTCTTCTCTCTTTTCCCCCAATATAATTGATATGACAGATCCCAGTAAAATTTCACCAAGCCATTGTGGCTAAGATTTTATTATGATAAATCATACAGTGTTATACAGTAATATTTATTACTTCATTTATTACTGCCTCCAAAGCCTCAGGATGGTCGGGGGTGGGTGCCTTGCGCTGCGGGTCGGCCACCC